CATCTTAAAATTATAATTGAAACCAGAGCCGCTATGATTCCTGTAAGGGCTGATATTATTGCCATCATAGTTTCTTCTGACATCTAAATGAAAGTAATTAGTTTAGCAGTTAAAATAACTTACTATTAACTTATATTAAACATGTGTGAAGCAATGTATACTTACTGTTTTATTCGAAAAATAAAGAATTTAAAATTTAAAGATTTAAGAAAGAAATTAATTTTTTTCGTTCAGTTTTTATTTATTAGCACACGTAACATTGGAGTGCACTGTCATTATAGTTTAACAAATCAGTTTATTAAAGATTTTTGAGAAACATATATGTCGATCCTAATTATTTTTATAAGCAGAAATATTCACAACCAAATGGTTGTGGCTGAATATTTTGCAATAATGATTCCTTAAGTTTTCTTCTTTCCTTTCATATTTTCTTTAACACATCTGACAAATTTTCTTTAACAATTTTATCTGATGATAATTGAAATTAGATTGTTTAAGAGATTGAAACATATTTGGATATGTTACAGGTTAACTTGTTGAAAAGTTTTTATATTTATTACTGGTAAATGATAATATAATAAATATTAGTTTTAACGAATTCATAATACAGAATCATTTATTATACAAAATTCTTTAAATTCATAGAATTTTTTTGGATTACTTATTAATAAATTATGCAATCCAAAATCATTTATATTTCTATTATCCAAATCATTTTGTAAAATATATGCATAAATTAATTCCAAATCATTAGATTTCTGATTCCAAGATTTTTTAAAAATTATATAACAATCACTATCAGCAGATGCTAATATATTATTTTTACCTAAAGAGCAAAAATTAATAGTAAATAAAACTATTGAGACATCTATTTAGTAAAATATTTAAAAGTCTCAGTTACTTCTTTTCAAATATTTCTAAATTTATCATTTAATAATAAATTTACAGCATTTAATAATTCTTTAAAAAAAAAATATTTCAAAGTTATCTTTAATGTTCTTAAAAAATTTTATCTATTCTTTATCTGGCATTTTGTATACTCTTCATCTAGTAGTAATAAAATCAATTGATTATTTTAAATATTTCATAAAACTAAAGCTTATCCAACTAAAAATTACATTAAAGATTTAAAAAAGTATTCTGCAAAATTTACTAAACATTAAATTTCAATATTTAATTAGCATCATTAATCTAAGATTCAAAAAAACGCAATCATTTAAATATGATTTTAAAATATTATGACTTACCATTTTATCAATAAACCAATAAGTAAATTTCACTATTTTTAATATTTTTTTGCAGTTCACAATTTATAATTCTATATTGATTATGACAGTGATGACAAATGACTAGGTCATTTAACCATTATGAAATGACTTCTGAATAACCTTCGAATGACCTGGTTATTTGAGGTTATTTTTCATTTATCACTTAAATGTAAATAGTCCAAATTTTATATTCTGACCAGAATTACAAATTTATATCATGTGAAATATTTATGAAAATTTTGAAACATAATTATTTTGGCCAGAATTATTAAGACTACATGATATAATTTTTAAATGATCTAGTCATTTGTCATTTAATGTTGAAATGACCTAAATAACGTATGACCAGTCATTTAAGTCATATGAGTTCCTTTGGTTAACTTGCCATCACTGAATTATAGTGAAATTCAAATAAAGCATCATATAAATTACGAATATATTAGCATTAATATTTAATGGTCAAATAGAGAAGATTATATGGATGTAATATTTTGAAAATCCGTATTATTTGAAGTTTTTCAATAGTTACTTATTTAAAATGATTGTATAATATGTAAATTCATAATACATATAATCCAGTTTTTTTTTATTAAAAAGAATAATATCACTTTTTTATCACTTGAAAGATATGCTGTATTATCTATAATTTATAAAGGATACTTTTAATATCAAACTTTATTAATAATCTCAATTACTGTAATAAGACTGTTTTGCATTGCATTTTGGTATATTTATTAATTAAGTTATATTTGCATGATTCATCAATCATAATAGAAAATGTTGGAGTTATTGCAATATTGGATATTTGAGTGCTGACATAAATGTTAGAGACATTTTGGTATCATATATGCAATGTTGAAGTAGACAGCCAATTTCGAGGTACTTTTCCAATTAAATATTCATAAATTAGTTTAAAATATTCAACTGTAGATCACATTGATAATTTACTTATTTGAGAGACTAGTAGCAAGTCAAATAGTATTTGAAGCATACTCGCATTCATTCACTTTAAAAATAAATTTGACTTTTCTTTTAAAAGCAGCATCAGAATAATTTGCTAATATCAAATTAACCGAATTTCAGATAAATGATTTGATTTTTATTTACAAAGATTATATGTATAAGCACCAAGTGAATTATGTATAATGAATAAGATAATCATTTTATCGTCAATACATTGATTGAAGGTTGGTATTTATAAAGACTTTGTGACATATGGGAGTATTTCTAGGAAAATCAGGTTCCGAGAAATTTTTGACTAAAATTAAGAGCTTAATACATTTTAATCTAATAACATCAAAAACTAAAATGAAATAAAAATCTCAATTTTATTAAAAAATTCCCAGAACCTAATTTCCTAGCAATCAACCCATATAATCATACATAGTGTAATATGGTGATTTGCTGCTGAAACTTCTTCTACAGATAATTATTGAACTGAAGAAATTAATTGAGGTTATTTTTATTTAACTTTGGCATTTTTGTTATTAGATCTAAAGTATTATCAAGATATTTTTCATTCATTTCATTTATAATTTCATTTATTTTTCTTCTTTTGTCATTCTTTTTCGCCTCTAGCTTTTTAGCTTGTGTCTCATACGCTTTTTTAATTGATGGGTATATTTTAAAGGTAAAGGCATTTTTTCTAATAAAAATCTGAAATCTTTAAAGATAAATAACTTCAGTTTTAGTTAGCATTCAAAAAATTAAAATTGTAAATAAATACTATATAACCTAAAAAAAAAATAATGTAACACCTTGCTTTTATGAAGAAAAATTTTTATTTAGAGAGTTGTTCCTAAAAGATTTATTTATTGATATTTTTTTTGGAAAAACGAGATATTAATTATATAAAAAAACAATAATTTTAGAAGTTTTTATAAAATTTGAAGAGTTATTGAGAAGAGTTCAATGTTATTAAGTATATAAATGTATCAATTTAGTTAGAAGTTTATTATAAGAAAATTTAAATTTTAGTAACTATATCGGTATTACAAAAAATCTTTAATAGGATTTGTTAAACTATGCTGACAGCGCATCACAATATAACATGCACAATTTGCTTTTTTATTAAGTTTATGTTTCAATTTATATAGATAACTCACCCCTTGCCTATATAACAACTTTAATAAATATTATTTATAAAAGATCTAGGATAAGAACCTAAACTCACTATTATTAATAAGCTAAATATCCTGTTCAAATTTTCAAGCCTTTTTGTTTTGATAATAATTAACATGTCGATGCCTTCCTAAATCTTTACAATACTAAGATTGAAAAAAATTGAACAAAAAATTATAAGATATTTGAAGAAAAAAAAATATACATCATTTATCAAATATATATATACATATCAAGTTATAAGGAACGAATTTTCCTTGATTAATTAATTTGTATCTAACGATTAAAAGATGTTTTAGCTAAAAAAAAATAAATAAATATTTATTGATATTACTAATAAGATTAAATATAATATACCCTACATATTCTTTGTCGTCACTGAATTGATTTAGTATTATATTTCGATGTTTGATATCATAAAGTTATGTGTATCTATGAGGCAATGTATACTAATTATAAAACATTTTATGTTATAATAAAAGATAAAAAGAATTCACAAAACAAGAGAGTTTATTGTATAATACATACAAAATATTCATAGAATTGACACTTTACGTCACAAAATAGAAAATCATCTTCATGAGAATGTTTTTTGGGGTGCTTAAATTTATTTTAAGGAATTTTTTTAATGCATTTTGATCTTTCACTTGATTGAACAAACTATTTTGTTAATAAAATATCATTCAAATATTAATATCTCTTTATTAAAAAATAATCTAACTTTTTACATATTAATTTATACCTTTATAAGTGATTCTTTTTCAGATTCTTTATTATCTTCTTACTTGGCAATTACTGCCTTATATAACTGGATTCTTCGCATAACTCATGTTCATTCCTAAAATCAAAAAATTTTAATTCAAATAAATTCGTTTCCAATAACATAAAATAATAAAAAAAAATTGATAGTACAAATCCACAAAAATGATTCACTGTGATTTAGAATTTGAATGAAATAATCACTGCTTTGGCATTTTTCTGGCAATTTGGAAATGGACACTGAATCAGACATGTTTCATCTTCAAAATGATGCATTTCATATTGATCTTTACATGGAACTTATAAGCTACTCCTTTTTGAGATTTTGTTAACAATGAACAATTTTCCTCACAAAATGACGTGTCAATTGAAATATATGTTCATTGTGATGTCCTTTTTTTTTGTGCAAATTTTTAACAATTACGCTTATTGTGAAGAATACATTTTTGATCACATAAATAAGTTTTTATTCTATTACATATGTGCATGCCTTCATGTCCAGCTTGTAATTACATAACGGAATTAATCTAAGGTTATATTGTTCAGTAAACTGGCAATTAAAATGACACTTATGTACTGTCAAACAATCATGTTCATCTTCATGTTCACGATTTTAAACACATTTTAAGCCACTTTGATAGCATGTAAATCCACACAATATTCACAAACGTGTAAGGTTTTTAATTCCTACTCTATTGCAAACCTTCTATTAACAATATTACTGTTATTTTGTGGAAAATTAGTAGTATTTTGTCTATACCAATTAGAGATAAGTGCAATGCGAAGCTCAACGATATGTTTAAAAAATCTATTGAACGTAAGTTCTGAAGTCTCTTTTAAATCATCATTAAGTTAGACAAAAAATGAGCTGTCTTCATATAATTGAATACTAGTATCTGCTGATATTTCATCATCAATTCCATTGAAATCAAATAAAATCTTGGATAATTTATGTATTGGATCTTCAATTAGCTCTCTGGTATCATGGTTCTAGAAATAAAGAAGTAAATATTATAAAATTAAATATCTTTAGCTTAAAAACTTATTTAAAGACGTAAAATTACAATAATAAAATTTAATTTGAAAGGTTAAATCAGGAGATTTTTGTTCTAAACTATAAGAAATAGTGAATGATAGTAATCCTTTTATGTTGCGACGCAAATTTATATGTGGCTTTCATCTAACAAACCCAATTATATATCTAAAAAGTTAAAATATAAGTATTATTTTCTTAAGAATGGGATAACTTTACAAATTTTCAATTTAGCCATAATCAACTTTGAATTTTATAAGAAGGTTCGCGCATCATATTTTGCATTTTCTAAATCTTTATTAACATTAGATAAGATTTCAAAATATCTAGCATCATTAAATATTGGCCAAGAAATGATATTTAGTCTTCCTTTATACATCCTTGAAATAAAGTTATCTTTACCCTTCTAAAAAAAATTTAAAAATAAATAAAACTGTAACAAAAACCCTTTGAAAATTATATAAAATGTACATCAGAAATTAATTGAGAAAATTTTAACTGAAATTCCTTAACAATGTCTTCTTGTTGACCTTAGATATGTCTTTTATGATAATACAAAGCCTTGTCTAAATAATTAAAATATTAAATAACTTTGACTTTCTCCATCACATTTTGATTATATATAAATAATATTTGAATTATACCTGAAATATTTTTGGATCTGGATCAAATAACATTGTGCCATCATGAAATTTTTGAAAAATTGAAGAAATATACTTATTTATGTTAAATTGATTCTGTTTTTGAAAAATAATAATTTCCATTCATTAGTAAATATGTAAAGAAAGTAGTAGTAAGATAATATAAAATCAATCACCTTAAAGAGTATAAGATTTGATATCACCGTATTGAAAGTGTAAAAAACATATCTAAAGATTTATAGGATATATAATATAATAAATAGTCTAAAATGAAAAATAATGTTTTGCAATTTTACCTTCTTAAGAACTTTTTTCGAGAAACTTTAACCTTTTACAATTAAGTGTAACTCCCTGGTATTAACTATTTAAAGAGATTGGAAGTTTAATTAATTAATCATAACTTAATATAATACAATATAAAATCATTAGTTTACCTAATGACATCCATACTCCATTAACGTAATGCTGAAATAAAAATTTATAAATTAGTTTTTTTTTTAAAAAAAAAAAGGAAGGGGGAGATATTACTAATTACCATTGCAGAGCCATTGAAGGATTTTTTATACGATTGTTTACCTATACTAGAAACAACTTTTACATTTTTATCACCATAATACTTAATATTCCTTCATGCCATCCAAAAGAAATATTCTTTGCTATGCTATCCACATAATGACCAGAACCATCATCATATACTATATCATTTGAAGACTATCAATCCCTAAAATGTTGAAATAAATTATTTCTTGCTAACACAATTTGTATAGGAATTAACCAACAAAGTTAAATGATCCATTCTCCTAATTTGTAATTTGATGAATATCTCGTCAAATGCTTAATATAAAACTCTTGGAAAATTATGACAGGTGTAAAAAATCTCTTTAATATTGTGATAGGTTTTTTTGTAGTACGTTTTAAACCTTTAAAAGTTTCAGGCAATAATTTTCAAATTCTTCATCTTTAATATCAAGAAAGATTTTTCAAATTAATAAAACGCTCTTGCTCAGGATCAACAGGATATTTCTCAAACATCAATATATAGGTATCAATAAGACCATTTTGCTTTGTTTTCAGTTCAATACGGAATTCAGTCCAACTATTAAATTTGCTTATAGGTTTAAAATGCCAGTAACTCAACATTGTATTCAAAATAACATCTATCACCTTAAATCTTTCACCCATTAACACAATATATTTTTCTTTTTAACTTTTTGATCAAATTAAAAATGAGTATTCCTTCCTTCAATATGAGCATAATTGTTATTAGAATCAATTAACAAGTGTCTGTTTTTCTTTTGAAAATGATATTGAGTTTTCAAGCATCAAGTGGGTTTGTAGTTTATTTATACAACTAAATTGTAAGAATACTAAGGATTGAAGAGTAGGCGGCAAGTTAATAACTATTCAAAATGAGAGAGTGAGTTTATTTTTTTATGTAATTTATATAAGATAAAGAGAATATGAAAATTTTTAATACCTTTATAGTTGAAACATTGAATCGTTGAAAAAAATAAATATAAGCATGACATATTTTTTTAGCTTTATAAGTAAGAGCAACTGTGTCATCATCTTCACTATTGGTATATTATAATCAGTATTATAATCAACGTAAGGTATTGCAAATGTTACAATACATGAGTCATTAGAAGAACTTTAAAATTTTACGGCATCAGATGAAAGGTCACAAGTGTTGGTCAAAATTTTTGATTGTTAAGATTGAATATACATGTACATTCGCTTCTTTCAATAAAGTAAAGTTCTTCAGTATTGTTGATGAATAAGAAGTGCTAAATAGTGTTTCTATTAATATTAGGTTAAGATTTTATTAATTCATAATATTAATAATCAATTCACAAATTTTCAAAATATTATGCAGGGAATGGCATCAATAAAAAAGTAATGTCACTTATTTTCTCAAGCATTATCAATAATATCCTTATAGTTAATATGAGTTATTTTGCTAATATAATTGAATTCGTGTCAGTTAAAGTTTGGTAAAATTATGTACAAAAGTATAGTTAGAATTGAAATATAAATGGTAATAGAGAAAGTAAATATAAAGTAATAAAGTTAGTGGTAAAATAATATTGAAGAATCAATTAAACGAGAAATATAACTATTTAAATATTTAGTATTTTTATTGCTCCGCTATTATGTTTTAAAAATTTAAAGAAGTGATTTCATGTGTAAAGAAATTAATTATAAAAATTGCTACTGTTAACAAGGTTTGAAGATATGTTTTTTAACAAGATTATAATTATTCTACTTCTACTACGATATAAAATATAAAAAAATATTTTTAAAAAAATTAAAAATTGTCTCCATGATATACTTTTTTAAATCATCAGTCATGTTTAATTATGTGAATATAACAATTCAAAGGATGCAAAATTAAATAATTATAACTTCTTATAAGTATTATTATTGTGAAATAGTGCGTGAGATTTTCTAGCCAGCTATCCTTGGGTACGGCTCCCACAATGTGCAATATTAGATGCTGTTATGAATGAATGATCTTCATTCATTCCATGGGATGTTAATGATCCTATCCACCCATGTTATGATAGATGTTCCGGCCAAAGGTTCCCATATTGGATCAGGGTTTGTTGTCGATTTTGTGGGGTCTAGGTGGTAGTTAGCTATATTAACTATGTGCCTAATTTTTCCAGAGCATGAAAGTAAGCATTAACTACCCTGGTTCATACCTAGAGGCAAGATGTCAGCAGTTATTCAATCTACTCAAACTTTTTTATTTTATTTTATACTATTTACTAATAAAAAACCTTTTCTTTAAAATATTTATTTATATTTATTATAAAATGCCTTAACTTTTTTAAAATAAGATTAAAAAGTAGTATCACAATGGAATCATTGTTACATTCTTGAAATTTCTAAAATAAGATTATTAAGCTATAGCGAAATAATATTTTGAAAAAAAAAGAATTGAAATTCTTTATTGAATAGTAAAATAATGCGTTATCTTAAAATCTTTTACATTAAAGAAAACTTTCTGTATTAAATTAATAGTGAATAAATAAAGAGAAAAAAGAAAATTGATTGTAATATAATAAATAAATAAGTATAAAAGATTTAAAAAAAATTCTTTGCATCATATCTTTACATTGAAGTTTAATTTTTTTTCCTACTTTTGCTCAACGTGATTTTTTTTACCAGTTTATTTGTAAATATTCTTTCTTTTTACTTTTTGTTAGTTCATTTTCAGGATCGATCTTTTCAGTTCTAAAGTATCAAATATTCTTTAGCTTAGTGTTTCAGGCCAAACTATTTTTTAACATTCAAAACGTTTTTCACTCCAGAGAATTTTTCTTTGATCCGAAACCTCTAAATCCTAAATTTGGAAAGATTTTTGCAGATCAATTTGGCGAAACTAGTTTTGTTTGAAACACTACTTTAGCTTTTTTTGAATTTTTCTTTTGACTTGAATTGTTCTTAAAGTATTATTTAAATTATTTTAAATTATGGTCGAATAATAAAAATACTGTGGTATAGCAGTTGATTGTATTGGATATTTCTTTATTACTTTCTTATTTTCTAAAGCCATCTTGATGTTTAATTTTATTTCTTATATTTATTTTCGTTTATAAAAGAATTTTAAATTTATAGTTTATCAAAAGTAACTGAAAAAAAAGAAATAGTAAATTATTTGTTTTTTTGAAATAAAAAAAAACTTTGTTTTTCTTTAAGAAATCTTTTTTAAAAAAAAAATTTCAATTTTCTTTCTTTCTCATTCTATTATTCTATAAGTACCTTTTTTTTAAAAATAAAAAAATAAAATAATATAAAAAATTTAGAGTTAATATTGAAATAACTGCTGACATCTTGATCAACAATTTCGACCAACACTTGTGACCTGACATCTGATGCCGCAAAAATTTTAAAGTTCTCCTGATGGCTCATGTATTATAGCATTTGTAACACCTTACGTTGATTATAATATTGATTATAAATATACGATAGTGAAGATAATAGCACAGTTGCTCTTACTAACAAAGCTAAAGAAATATGTCGTGCTTATGTTTATTTTTTTTAACGATTCGATATTTCAACTATAAAGGTAATTAAAATTTTCATATTCTCTTTATCTTATATAAGTTACATAAAAAAATAAACTCACTCTCTCATTTTGAATAGTTATTAACTTGCCGCCTACTTTTCAATCCTTAGTGTTCTTACAATTTAGTTGTATAAATAGATTACAAACCCACTTGATGCTCGAAAACTCAATATCATTTGCAAAAAAAAAATAGACACTTGTTAATTGATTCTAATAACAATTATGCTCATATTGAAGGAAGAAATACTCATTTTCAATTTGAACAAAAAGTTAAAAAGGAGAATATATTGTGTTAATAAGTGAAAGATTCAAGGTGATAGATGTTATTTCGAATACAATATTGAGTTACCAGCATTTTAAACCTATGAGCAAATTTAATAGTTGGACTGAATTTCGTATTGAACTATAAACAAAGTAAAATGATCTCATCGATACCTATATATTGATGTTTGAGAAATATCCTGTTGATCCTGAACAAGAGCGTTTTATCAATTTGAAAAATCTTTCTCGATATTGAGGATGAAGAATTCGAAAATTATTGCGTGAAACTTTTGAAGGTTTGAAACGTACTATAAAAAAACCTACCACAATATTAAAGAGATTTTTCACACCTGTCATAACTTTTCAAGAGTTTCATATTGAGCATTTGATGAGATATTCATCAAATTACAAATTAAGAGAATAGATCATTTAACTTTGTTAGTTAATTCCTATACAAATTACGTTAGCAAGAAATAATTTATTTCAATCTCTTAAGGATGGATAGTCTTCAAATGATATAGCACATGATGATAGTTCTAGTCATTATGTGGATAGCATAGCAAAGAATATTTCTTTTGGATGGCATGAAGGAATATTAAGCATTTTGGTAATAAAAACATAAAAGTTATTTCTAGTATGGATGAACAATCATGCGGAAAATCCTTCGATGGCTCTGCAATGGTAATTATTAATATCTTTCCTTCCTTTTTTTTTTAAAAAAAAACTAATTTATAAATTTTTATTTCAGCGTTATGTTGATGGAGTATGGATGTCATTAGGTAAACTAATGATTTTATATTGCATTATATTAAGTTATGATTAATTAATTAAATTCCTAATCTCTTTAAATAGCTAATACTAAGGAGTTACATTTAATTGTGAAAGGTTAAAGTTTCTCGAAAAAAGTTTTCAAGAAGGTAATATTACAAAACATTGTTTTCATTTCAAACTATTCATTATATTAATATATCTAATAAATCTTTAGATATGTTTTTTACACTTTCAATATGGTGATATTAAAATCTTATACTATTTAAGGTGATTGATTTTATATTATCTTACTACTACTTTCTTTACATATTTACTAATGAATGTAAATTATTATTTTTTCAAAAACAGAATCAATTTAACATAAATAAGTATATTTCTTCAATTTTTCAAAGATTTCATGATGGCGCAATGTTATTTGATCCAAATCCAAAAAATTTCAGGTACAATTCAAATATTATTTATATATAATTAAAATATGACGGAGGAAGTTGAAGTTATTTAATATTTTAATTATTTCAATAAGGCTTTATATTATCATAAAAGATGTGTCTAAGGCCGATAAGAAGACATTGTTAGGGAATTTCAGTCAAAATTTTCTTAATTGATTTCTGAGATACATTTTATATAATTTTCAAAGGGTTTTTGTTATGACTTTATTTATTTTTAAATTTTATTTTAGAAGGGTAAAGATAACTTTATTTCAAGGATGTACAAAGGAAGACTAGATATCATTTCTTGGCTAATGTTTAATGATGCTGGATGTTTTAAAACCTTATCTAATGTTAATAAAGATTTAGAAAATGCAAAATATGAAAATGCGTGAACCTTCTTACAAAATACAAAGTTGATTATGGCTAAATTGAAGGTTCGTAAAGTTATCCCATTTGTAAGAGAATAATACTTATATTTTTAACTTTTTAGATATATGATTGGGTTTGTTAGATGAAAGTCACATATAGATTCACGTCACAATATAAAAGGATTACTATCATTTACTGTTTCTTATGGTTTAGAACAAAAATCTCCTGATTTAACCTCTCAAAGTAAATTTTATTATTGTAATTTTACGTCTTTAAATAAGTTTTTAAACTAAAGATATTTAATTTTATAATATTTACTTCTTTATTTCTAGAATCACGATACCAGAGAGCCAATTAAAGACCTAATACACAAGTTATCTAAGATTTTATTTTATTTCAATAGAATTGATGATGAAATATTAACAGATACTAATATTCAATTATTTGAAGACAGCTCATTTTTTGACTAACTTTTTGATGATTTAAGAGAGTATTTCAGAACTTACGTCTAATAGATTTTTTAGATAAATTATTGAGCTTCACATTGCACTCATCACGAATTGGTATGGACAAAATACTACCAATTTTACACAAAATAACAGTGATATTATTAACGGAAGGTTTGCAATAGAGTAGAAATTAAACAACCTTACATGTTTGTGAACATTTTGTGGATTGACATGCTATCAATGTTGCTTAAAATATGTTTAAAATTGTAAACACGAAGATGAACATGATTGTTTGACAGTACATAAGTGTTATTTCAATTGCCAGTTTACTGAAAAACATAACCTTAGATTAATTTCATCATGTAATTACAAACTGGACATGAAGGCATGTACATATATAATAGAATAAAAACTAATTTATGTGATCAAAAATGTAAACTTCATAATAAGCGTAATTGTTAAAATTTTACACAAAAAAAAGGACATCACGATAAACATATATTTCAATTGATACATCATTTTTGTGAGGAAAATTATTCATTAACAACAAAATCTCAAAAAGGAGTAGTTTATAAGTTCCATGTAAAGATCAACACAAAACGCATCATTTTGAAGATGAAACTTATCTGATTCAGTATCTATCCATTTCCAAATTGCCAGAAAAATGCCAAAGCAGTGATCATTTCATTCAAATTCTAAATCACAGTGGATCATTTTTGTGGGTTTGTACTATCATATTTTTTTATTATTTTATATCATTAGAAACGAATTTATTTGAATTAAAATTTTTTGATTTTAGGAATTAACATCAATATAATAATAAAGAATCTGAAAAAGAATCACTTACAAAGGTATAAATTAATATGTAAAATGTTAGATTATTTTTTAATAAAGAGATATTAATATTTGAATGATATTTTATTAACAAAATAGTTTGTTAAATTAAGTGAAAGATCAAAATGCATTAAAAAAATTCCTTAAAATGAATTTAAGCATCCTGAAAAACATTCTCATGAAGATGATTTTCCATTTTGTGACGCAAAGTATCAATTCTACGAATGTTTTGTACATTATATAATAAACTCTCTTGTTTTGTGAATTCTTTTTATCTTTTATTATAACGTAAAATGTTTTATAATTAGTGTACATTGCCTCATGGATACATGCAACTTCTTGATATCAAATATCAAAATATGATACCAAATCAATTCAGTGATGACGAAGATTATGTAAGCAGGGTATATTATATTTAATCTTATTAGTAATATCAATAGATATTTCTTTATTTATTTTTTTTGGCTAAAACATTTTTTAATTATTAGATACAAATTAATTAATCAAGGAAAATTCGTCTCTTACAACTTGGTATGAATATATATATTTGATAAATGATGTATATTTTTTTTTTCTTCAAATATCTTATAATTTTTTGTTCAATTTTTTTCAATCTTAGTATTGTAAAGATTTAGGAAGGCATCGACATGTTGATTATTATTAAAATAAAAAGGCTTGAAATCTTAATAGGATATTCAGCTTATTAATAATAGTGGTATTTTAAATTTGTATTCAAGTTCTCTTCAGTACCATCAACTCTATTTTAACTATATAATAAATTATAGAAAAATCTATTAATGATTAACCGCTAGATTTCATTTCTCATAAGTTGTTCTGGTAACATACAGGATTTAAAAGTATGTATTAATTTTCTTCTATCTTTATTTAATGTACATTTGTTTTAAATAAATTTTTTTTATTCCAGGTTCTCATTTTGTTCAGAAACAACAAGAGTTTGCAAAATGTGATGAATGTTTCACAAAAAACATTCTCAAGGATCTTCAAACGCTCAAATTAAATCATTTTGTGAATTACCTTTTTCTCATGCTCCATTCAATTCAAGCTCAAACCTTCTAAATAACTATAGACATATATCTTCAGATGGACATGTGAAAATCCAGATATGTGAAAAGCTGCTGCTTTTTATATTGTTTTGTCTTAGATCGATTAGAATCTATGAGTTGTAATAATATGAAGCCTTCACCATGGACTTTTATTTTTAAGGAAATGAAAGCAAATAATAATAATAGACTCAGTGTTGCTTATAATGCAGTAAGATTTAAAATTAAAGAATTTAATATTTCTTTTAATGTATAATTAGGTATACCAATTTATAGAAACACATCTTTAACTCAAGAAAACTAGAATCAATTGTCACACCCTTTGCGTGATAGCATTTCATTAATTCTGTTTGATCATAATATTATTGTACCACTTGAGAATCAAAATTTAACAGAATCGGGAGCTTTATTGAAACAATGGTGGTAGAAAGAATTTTGATCTCCCAATGGATTTAATTTATTCTTATTTTGATCCTACAAAGTAGGTTTCTTTATTTTTTTATAAGTTAAAATTTGAAATTTTTGTTAATATTTGCTTATGAATTTTTTTGTTCACCTTTTTAGGAAAAATGTCATTATTCTTTTATCTAATGGAGAATGTGGTAATCAAACAACTCAATTTAAAGTTATTTGTAAAACAAATCAAATAAATGTGGTAATTTGCATCATATCATTTAAATTTTGTTGCCTTAAAGCAATTATTAAATTAATATTTTTGGAATTTCTCTATACAGTATCAATTAACGATGATTCACAAAGTCAATCATTAGAAGAGATAGCAAGGATTGCATAATCTTATCATCCTCTAAAAACTTCATTCAGTATCAATTTATCTGTGCCACTAATGAACTAAATTTAGTTAATTATTTACCGATATTTAAAGAAACATACATAACTTTCTTATTTATAATTAGATGAACGTACAAATAAAATATATATATGAAAATCTTGTACTTAAGTCTCGACTTTTTTAAAAAAAAACATTCAAAATTTATCAAATTAGAGGTATGCTCCAAATCTGATCAGAAATTTAACCGGATCCATCAGAAATCTAGTCAATTCGACTTTAGTAAGTATAAATTTTTTTTTTATTAATTTTTTTTTTACAATATAATATTAAATCTAATTACGTATTACATTATCTTTTTTCAAAACTTTGTCTATAGGAACAGCCTTCTCCTGAACTTCGTACTTTGAAATGGTTAGAATTTCAACTTAGACAGCTTGAATTCAAACAGTAAGTGCAAAATTCTTCCTTTTTTTTGTCTTAGAAACGTTACTAACTTTCATTTTACTTCTTTTTTTTAAGGAACGCCTTTCTGGAATGGATTTCAGCTTGGATTATAAAGGTAAGGTGATATGAGAGATTGTTTTTATTTTTCTTTAACTTTGGAATGCTATTAACGTTTCTTTTGCTTCTTTTCTTTAGAGAACGCCTTTCTTGATCTGGATTTCAGCTTGGACTATAAAGGTAAGGTGGTATGAAGATTGTTTTTATTTTTTCATTGTAATAGTAAACATCATTAACATTCCTTTTGCTTCTTTACTTGTGATTTTTTTTTGCTTTTCTTTTTTTTTGAAATACTATTAATATTTCTTTTGCTTCTTTTCTTTAGAAGACGCCTTTCTGAAGTTGGATTTTAGCTTGAGTCATAAAGGTAAGTTAGGTGCAGATTTTTTTGTTTTTTCTTAGTCTTTAGAATACCATTGAAATTTGCTTTTTTTCTTTAAAAAATATCTTCCTGAATCTGGATTTCAGCTTAGGCTATAAAGGTAAATTAATATAGAAGATTGTTTTTGATTTTTTTGACTTTAGAATATCATTAATATTTTTTTTGCTTCTTTTCTTTAGGGAACGCCTTCATATACCTAGATTTCGCTTAGATTATAAAGATAAGTTAGATGTAATTTTTTTTGTTTTTTCTTAATTTTTAGAATGCCATTAACATTTCTTTTGCTTCTTTTCTTTAGAAGATATCTTCCTGAACCTGAATTTGTCTTATATTATATAGATAAGTTAGTATGAGGGAATGTTTTTGTTTTTTGTTAACTTTAAAATATCATTAATATTCCTTTTGCTTCTTTTCTTTAGAATTTGTTTTCTTAAACCTGGATTTTGATTTAAACTATAAAGGTAAGTTGGTATAGAAGATTATTTTTATTTTTCTTTTACTTTGAAATGTAATTAATATACCTTTTGCTTTTTTTCTTTAAGAAATTTCTTCCTAAACTGTGATTTTGACTTGGATTATAAAATATATATTAGGAATAGATAATTTTTACTTTTTTTATTTAAGAATGATAATATAGATAATTCTTTGATATTTCTTTATAGACATAAAAATTTATATAAACTTTAAATTAAATAGTGAATTAAAAAAAGAAAGATCTATTTTGTAAAGTAAATAATAACAACTTAATTATGATATTCTAAAATTTATATATAAAATTTTTATTTATTTAACTTTAAAAATATTGGTTATTTTATAAAAATATTTATTATATATACTTTTTTTTTTATACATGCTTTTTTTTTATATATGCTCTCTTTTTTTTAAAAATAATTTTCATATTATTATAATAAATTTTTAATATAGATTCAAGTTTTATTAAAAATAATCAAAATAATTCAAATAAAACTCAAAAAAAAGAGAAGGATCACAAAAAAAAAGTTGGATA